CATGGGCCGGGGATACAAACTTGACTCTGTAATTTCCAGTGCATAACACACAGACAGTGATTAATAAATATTTATGGTTGATAGCACAAAATCTTACAAAATCTCTGGCACTGTGTCTGTTCCAGGTCACACTGTAAGTAAATTTAAAATGTGCCTATAAGTAGTAAAGCTTAAGACACTCTGTAATCATAAATAATTCAACAAACCAAAATTTTGAAATTGCTTCATTTTTACTTAGACTGGGAGAAATTTGGTTAAGTGTTTTGTTTCCAATGTAATGTGCTTTGTAAGATAATGCAGCATTAATATTTAATAATACAATTTTCTTTAAGTTGTTTTTATATAATTTAATCTCTTTAAAATGTACCATTTGCTCAGATCCTGAAATAATGAAATAGATGTATTAGAAGTTTCTACACAAGAGATATTTTGTGGAATGTTCTTAATAAATATAACGTGCCTTATATATAAAATTTATATTACAAATGTATATAATATGAAATATTTATGAATAAAAAATAAGAAACTGAAGGAGAGAAAATGTATTTTTTTCTCAAATCATAGGCTTCCATATAACTCTTTATTTAATGTTTATCTTTTATAACCAAATTATATAGAACTCTACCCACAATTAAATATGACATTTTATGTGTTGAATAATTAGAAGAAATAAATTTTTTATTAATTAAATTTTTTTGATATTATTTATGAAGGTTCTGTTTCAAAACACTCATTTATTGATCAAATTATGATGTGTATATATTAGCAAAGAACAAATAGAAAAATAAATTTTGCAATTTTTTTTCATTAAGCATACATTTTAATATTTTAATCTGGTTTGCTAGACCAAAGGTGCAATAAAAATACTGAATACCAATTTCTGTATTAAAACATCTTAAGTTAATGTTACCTAAAGGTCAAAAGCACATGAATATTTCACGGAAGGCATTTTAGACGTTACACATTTCATCTCAATTCTGGTCATGACTTATTTCATCAAGTGACTGCTACATATTCAATTGTAAGAGGTTAGTTTTCCCCCAAAAGAAAATGCATAACAAATGCTGTATTTGTAGTCAAATAGTTGCTTTTAAAAATATGCTTTTTAGGCATAATCTAAAAAGTGGGACGGTTTTGTTTTTGTTGTTTTGTTTTTGTGTGGTTATTTTCGTTTGGTTTTTGGAGCTGAGAACAGCCAAGCTTTTTAGGCAATCTTTTTACCCACTGGAGTCAGCAGAAGGGTGCCACCTGGTGGAAATGTGAGCAAATTCTAAACCTTGTCCGATTGACCATTAAAAATATATACACATACTCATTTAACAAACCTTGAGAGTCTCATCATCAGGGACAAGTGATACAAAGATAAAAAAAAGTTCACATGAATTAATGAGGATCTATCTTGTTCTTTTTGTATTATATAGATCAGCAGAATCATATTAAGTTAACTTTAAAATTTCCAGAGCTATTATTAACATGCATTGTTGAAGCTTTAAACAAACTATTCATCCATTTTATATTCAAGGTAAATGTGCACGCGCGCACACGCACACATACTCATATAATTTGCAATTATTTTCATTCTTACAATAGAAATGTGTGACTGTTTAGAAATTAAAAGGTGAGGCTTCAGACCTCAATGAGATCCGGGCTAAGTCTCACCTCCACCACTTATAAAGACAAGTTTGGCCAAGTTGCTTAACTTCCTTAATCCTCTGTATTCTCATCTCTAAAATAGGAATAAAAATAGAACCCACCTCAAATAACTGCTTTGAGAATCAAATAGAAAAATACATTCAATAAATGTTACTTTATGAACATTGAGAATAGTACTCTGCCTGTGGTAAGCATTCAGGAAGTAATTTTTTTAAATAATAATTATAATTAGCCACTTCAGTTCCTAGACCTTGCAGTGTTAATTGAGATATTGATCATGTTAAGAAATGATGGTGGCTACTCATGTCCAAGCATTTGTTTTTAGACATTTTGTAAATGTGGAGTGTTATGAAAGCAACAAAAATAATTGTTATAAATATTCTTTAATCAAAGAATCTTTAAAAGAAAGATTATTACGATGACAAAAGTATTTCCAATGATTCAGAATATTCATAAAATATACAGTCCCTCCTATTCTTGTTGTCACCATTCCCTAGGGAGGGAGGGAACGTTCTCTTGCCATGGCACCCTGTGCCAGAGGACAGTACCAGAACAGATGAAACAGGAAGGTTGAGCCCTCTACAGGACTATAACAGTAACCAAATTATATGGTTCATAACCACTTTTATTTAGAGAAAGGATTATGGTCTTCCACTGTGCTATACGTGAAAATAGGTGTTTGATGGCCTCAGGACAAGGCATCTTTGAGGTTTCATAAAAATCTTTACCATAGAAAGTAGAAGATATTTTTGGCAACATGCAATAGCTTCAATCATTCGAAAGCAATGCATAGTGGTTGATTTGCTGGAACATATGCCCTATTTAACCACTAGGTATAATTTCATGAAGGTACATTTTAATTTAAATTTGTATTTTTTTTGAAATATTATAGAATCCAGCACAATGAATCACATCTTTATGCAGCTATTAAATCTAGTATTGCATGAGAGTTGTGTGACTATTACAGAATTAAACCATAATGACTAATAGGGCTAATAAAAGCTTAGTAGTCTTACGGAAAGTAGTTTAAGCTTTCACAGAAATCATTCACATTATTTGTCCATCATTTCATGTGTCAAGCTTTGAAAAAATATATACTAGATATGGTTATTTTCTGGGAGTGCTTTGAAAACCCTCTCTGTGATGCTGTCATGTATATTTCAGTTGACTTTCTTTGTAAAATCAATCTATTTTATTTTAACACATGCATAAGATGCATAAAACTGACATTTTAAAATCATGTCAATACTCAGAAAGGCACTTAAACATACTCTATTAAAGCAAGAGTTCTTGCAAAGTAGACACTCCCTGAATATTTGAAGTGACTATTAAAAAATGCTCACTAACAAGAAAAATGGATTCGAGCTTGAACCTATCTCTTCATATGAATTTTAAGTATCAGATTAATCCTGACAAAGGGATTTGTTGTGCATAGACAGCGCATCCACTATTTACACATACATTTTCGGCTTCTGTGTCCTCTGCCTTCTGCCTCCCCACTTCCACCATCATTGAACTGTTTGCAGCGCCTCAAGTAACCAGCTGGTGTCACAGGTTAGTGAGCAAAGATTTCATGTGGGGACTCTCACCTGACTAATCATTCCTATTGGTAGTATCATTCCAAGAGCAGTAGAGAGGCTCGGCGGCTTGCTAATGAAATTTAAGGGCTGTCAGCCTGTAAGAGGATGTTAAATCCGTGTTCCTGTCCTGAAATTATTTTTATATATCTGCTAACCAGTTTTTACATTCTCATGTGTGCTGTGGTTTGGGAGGAAGGGGTATAAAAGGAAGGAACATATGTTTTAATATTTTCATACTTATCTCAGAGTATGGATCAAAGAGGATAGTTTAAGAAAACCAAAGCTTTGTAAAAACTACCAACATTCAACCCCCTCCCACTAATAACCAGGAAGGGAGCTTTAACTCATTGAGTAATCCCCACCACCTGTGTGAAACATATGTGAGGGAAATGAGAAGGGGAGGGAAGGGGAGAAAAGAGACCACAAGCCAGGAGAGATGACCAAGTCTGCAATATTAATAACAGCATCCCTGGCACCGCCTCCTCGGCCTCACCACCTCTCCTGGGCGATTTGGACAGCTCCCCTTAACAGGCTCTTTAGGGCTTAGAATACGCGAAAAGCCGCTTTGCTGCCAGAGCCTAGCTGCGTGCTCTCCCTTCATCCCAGGCCAGCAATAATCTGGGAGGGCTTCTGCCAGGAACACCTCCAGCAGGCTTCGCAGAGCACTCAGAGCAAAGATCCCTAACCCTCCTACCCCAGGGCTTGGGTCCTCCGGGCCCCCTGTTAATCCCTGACCTAAGTGCAGCGCTCTCTGCCCAGAGTCTCTAATTGATCTAAACGTGACCGCACCTCCACCAGGCTCAGCACAGCCTCCCACGTCCTCCTCCTCCTCCTCCGCCTCCTTCTCGCCAGGGCGTCTCAGCGCTCCCTCCCGACCCTCCAACTTTGGAAAAAGAGCGACAGCGAACTCCCAAATCACCCCAAATCAGGGAAAGAGACGAGAGACGAGATGGGGATCCACAACCATGAGGCTATGCTACAGATTTCTAAAGACAAAAAAAAGGGGTGTGTGTGGGGGGTGTGGAAGGACTGGAAAGAGACGGGGATAACCCTCAGCCCACGCAGGGCACCTCATCTCTGCAGACACAACACATCTAAATCCAGCAAATCACTAAAGCCAGCATCTTCCCAGCTCCCATTAATAATTAATGCCTTGCTGCTCCCCAAGCTCCGTTCCACTCAGCAGACTACAGATGTCTGGGACACTCTTCCCCCATCGACCTCCGAGACCACCCCAACCCACAAACACACACCGGTCTCCTCAAAAGAAACAAGAAAGGAAAGGAAAAACTCGGTCCGCCTAAAGGTCATTTGCCTACTCGCGTCGCTTTGGCCAGCGAGCGTCCCAGCTACAGGAAGCCCGGGCTTGAACCCGGCAAGTGGACAGCAGGAGCGCAGCAGATTACTTCCACTGGCGTTAACAGGGAGCCAAGAGGCCCCATTCCTTGGCCCTGACCACCTCTCCCTCCCTTGGTGGCCCACCTGCCGGGGCTCCCCCGGGGCACCTTCAGCCTTTACCTCTCTCCCCGTTTCCCCGCGGCTCTCCACCTTGCGCATCCTCTCGCCCGGCCCCGGAGCGCACTCACAGGCTCTAACTTCCCGCAGAGTCCATGGATAAGCTGGAGAGCCTGGACCTGGGCGGTGGGGAAGGGGGGGGGGAGGGTGGGAACAGGGAGGCGTGGGAGAGGAGCCTGGGAGGAGAGGCGGGGGGAACGCGGAAGGGAGCCACCCCTCCCGGGAGGGCTTGGCCGCAGTGCCAACTCTCACCTGGTCCGCCGGCTGCGCCTGGCTCGCCCTGGCCCCGGGGGTGGACTGTTGTTCCTGCTTCATGGCTGTCATCGCCAGCGGCCCGCGTTGGCGCTCACTTCCTCGCGGGCACTTCAGATTCGGGGACCGTCACTTGGCAGCGATAGCATGTCACAGGCGCCCGTCGCTCTCGGAATTGGCGGAAGGGAAAGCAGCGACGGGGTGGGGGGAGGGGAGCGACAGGGAGGGGAAGAAGAGCGGCACCAGGCAGGCTCCCCCTCACAGGATCCCTCCTTGGCTACCACAGACCCTCTAAGTCCCCACTCTCCCCGCCCCCCACCACCCGAAAGCGAAGCAAGCCTGGGAGACCAGACACAACCAAGTGGCAAGTTAGTGGAGCGGCGAGCAGCGGGCCCCCGGCACCTGACCCAGCTGGAGGGTTGTCTCCCAGCGCCTTAGGAGTCCGGCTCTCATTCTACCGCAGTCCGCGCCCCCCGCCGCCCACCCTCTGGGGCTCCCCGCGCGGTGCTCAGTGCGCCAGGTGGAGCAGCCGGGTGCCGCGCTCTAGCATCTCCCCAGCAACCAACCGCAACGCGGGAGAGAGCCCTGCACAGCTAGAGAGCTCCCCACTCCTGCGCCCAAGGCTGCAGGGTTCCGCGGTTACCCCACACACACACACAACCCCCCCGCCCCCCGCGGGCTTCTGCTAAAACCCGGAGAAGCGGAGTGCGCCCGTGCAAAGCCCTTGGTGGCTCCAGCTCTGCCACTGGGCATGCTCCAGCGCCCCAAAAGGCAGGGGGCAGTCGGGGACTGGGGGCCCTGAGCCATCAGGGAGGAGGGCAACACCTGTCGGGACCGGAGGGGTTGTCTCAGATTGTGACCTGAGATTCTGCACCTTCTGATTTGGGGCAATGGACATTCTTTAGCCTCCAGCCCAGATTCTCCTACCAGCTGCTTGGGTAATGCCAGTGGAATTCCTAAAGGTTGGTTAAAAACAATAATAACTGTAACGACGATAAGAATCTGACACTCGCTTTTTTTTTTCTTTTCCTTTCTTCCTGGACACATGTAGGGAAACCTTCAAATCTTAAGTCCTCCCAGCCTTTCCTTCCTTCGACATAACTCTTTCCCGCTCAAAGTACGTTTATTGAGCACCTACGATGTGCCAACACACTGTTAGGCTCAGAGGTAGGGTTGCAGGGGAAAGAGACTAAACAAGCCAAACCTACCAAATTCCCTGGCTGCAAGAAGCTTATGTTATGTGGGAATTGGGAACCTGGAGCCTGGACACAAATCAATGAGTCAGTGTAGCTCTTAGGCAGTTGAATTCATGTGGATAGACAAAGTCCACAGTTCATCCAGATGCACTAGCACGTGGCTTTCCCTGGAGCACCTAAAGCCTATGGACAATAAGCAGTCTCAAAGTCTCAGGCACAGGTTGTAGGAGATTGCTCACCAGAGAAATGGCAGGAGTGAGTTGAATATTTAGGCGTTAATGGAGTCAGCACAAGACAGTTCCAGCCGAGGGGACAGAGAATACGTGGGAGTAGAGTAGCACTGAGTTGGGCTTTATTGGCTAAGGACTGGCTCCTTTCTTTTAGCCACTTAGTTCATTAATTAATCACTTCTTAACTGAAAGGCTTTAACTGAAGGAATGGTAGAAGCTGGCCAGGCACAGTGGCTCACGCCTGTAATCCCAGCACTTTGGGAGGCAGAGGTGGGTGGATCACGAGGTCAAGAGATTGAGACCATCCTGGGCAACATGGTGAAACCCCATCTCTACTAAAAATACAAAAAACTAGCTGGGCATGGTGGCGCACGCCTGTAATCCCAGCTACTTAGGAGGCTGAGGCAGGAGAATTGCCTGAACCCAGGAGGCGGAGATTGCGGTGAGCCAAGATCGCGCCATTGCACTCCAGCCTGGGTAACAAGAATGAAACTCCGTCTCAAAAAAAAAAAAAAAAAAAAAAAAAAAAAAAAAAAAAAAAAAATGCTAGGAGCTGTCCTCCTGCCGCAGTAGCTTCCAAAACATGAATTATAATGTTGTCTCAAGTAGTAATTGTAACAATAGTTCTTATAAAGTATGTATTTGAACATAAATATATCAGTAACCACCAGCAGAAAGATCGAATTAGGGGTGAGTGGAGATCTTGCTTTTCAAAAATATGTATTCCATTGCATATTGTGAATGACCTATTTATTCTGTTTCAGAAGAAATAAAATTTTGCTAGGAATAACTTTGCAAGTTGCAAAAGCATAAAGCAAATACTTTTAACAAATGAAACATCAGTATAATAGCTACTGGGCAGTTTATCCAGTCATTCTGACAACCTAGATATTCCCTCAGATGTAATTTTTTTGGATGGAGGGGGTCTGCTTTATTCAGAAAATGTTTCCCTCTTTATAGTTTTTTTCTTCTGTTGATTATTTGAGTATATTCATCCTTTCAATATGTTGCCATTTTGGATAATCTGCTAGAGTTGAAGGAATTTACTTTATTGCAGAGTTATCTGTCACATAGGATAAGTATATGCTAGAGGGAGTTACCCTTTTATATAAGAGTACTTATTTGATTGAGTTCAACTATTGAACCTGCATCTATGTTCTGAATTCAGTATTAAATTCACTTTATTACAAATAAAGACATACATTATTATATGTTTCATGTATTGGGGGTGCATATGTGTCTGTGAATTCTTTTTTCATTAAAAAATGCTTCTTTGATTTAAGTCTTTGTCTTTTGGGATGGATTCTTATTTTGTCAAGCTAAGGACATTTTTAGCTGTTGAGATGTAGGTTAAGGGCACTGATTGAAACTTAATCACAGGTAAACAGATATTCCCAACATAAATACTTTTTTTAAAAAAATGTATTGCAATTGAATTATAGTGTAAGATGTTCTACTTCATTTTCAATTTAATTTCTCACTGAAAAAAAAATTATAATGATAATGTTGAAAGAAGAAATGAAGGAATACCTTTCACCTTAGAAGAGAATATTTGCAGTTCTGTTTTATATGATTTCTAATGATGTTATTTTTTTAAAAATGCAAAATATCCATTTACAATCAAATATCTACAAATTTTTTAAACTACTAAAGTATATATAACCTTAATGCAGTGTAGATATGAGGGTTCCGTACCTGACTAGATGTCAACAAGTTGGTATTGCTGCTTCGTTAGAGATTGGAGGTATAGGACACAGTGAAGTCACTTATCTCTTGCTTCCACGATTTTACCTGGTAAAATCAAAATGCTTAGACCAGGTACCCATTGAGATCTCATTCTCTAAATTTTCATGATGATATGTTGATGTTATAAATCAAATGACTATTCTCTGAATGACAAATTATTTGTATATGTTTAAATTTTAGTGGGAGAGTCAATTAAGTACTTAGAAATTGAAAAAAACAAATCCATAGATAATTACCTCACAAATGGCCCTTACCATCCACCACATTTCCAGTGTCCTCTAGTTTTACATACACCTATAGTCACAATTTTGTCTCAATACTATGTTTAGAATTCAGAAATATGAATTTTAAAATGTATTTACAAAGTATCATTTCTGAATATAAAAATCTACTTAAAGAGAATTTTAAAAAAGAGAATATTTTGAATACTTTTTATGTTATCTTTGATCAGATAATTCATGGACAAGTATACATTTTATAACATTCAGTATAACAGCAAAAAAATTTTCCTACCCTTTTCATGGAAAGAAATCAGACTCTCATAACTGAAAAAAAAAACTGTAGAAATCACCTAACAAAATTCCTTTTATTTTGGGTTATAAATAGCTAAACCTTACAACACATGGCCATTTTATTCAGGAAGATTTCCTAGAATTCAAACTCCATCACTTTCTTCTGAAAATGTATTGCCTCAAATCCTAGTTTTGGGTTCACATGTAGACAGAACCCACAATGCTGCTTCCTCAATATATTCATTTCGGTTTCTGAAGTCATTCAAAAACTTCCTCACATACAACATTATGAATATCTACAATGTCTTTCTTTCTCTTGACATTTTATTCTTTAAAAACAGGATGCCAATACATCTCTCTTTACTTAGAACTATTAAGGTGGGTGATTGAGGACAGGTTCTGAGATTTAGATAATAATTGAGTTAATTCAAGATTATCCTTACAGTGTTTTGGTATCAGTGGCAAAATTAGGTTGTTCCAGACATACATAGGTCATCTATGTAGTATTCAATCTTCCACCTCAAATAGTAGACACAGGACCAAAGAACCAAAATTGACTCTAACAACAGACAAGTAAGAAATAAGGCCTGGCTAACAGCTGATATGTCAGAAAGACAAACGTCCCTTGAGATTTTGTGAAGTAGAATATCCTTTAGAGACAAACCCTTCAGTTTCAGATAAATTAGAGAAGGCAAATAGTACTCCATAAGCAGCTAGTTGCCTGGACTCCCTCACTGCATTTTCCTTCTCTTTGCTCTCCTTTGTGAGATAAATCTGCAGTGTCATGTAAAGGCCACCTTGATGGGGATTTCCCTAGCATTAGCTAGTCCTCTGCTGAGTGTCTATAATGAGCACAGCATCAAGAAGACAGAGTTCGTGAGCTGTGTCTTCAGAGACTTGGCCTGAAATGTGCCCAATTAGCTCTTTGCAGATGAAGAAATAGCTTTAGTTCACATCTTCTGCTACCACTTGGTTTCGATTTACAAATGACCTCTATTCACCTCAATTGGCTTTTGAATTCCCCAAAGTGCATATCATCTCCTTGGGCAGAAAACCAGTATGCTGAGCAATCCTCAGAAACAAGCTACATTTTAGAAACTCTAACCAGTAAACTATAACAGGCATTTACTTTTAACGAAAAAAAGAAGAAAGAAGTAAAGGCACTATATATGTAAGTGATACCCATGTATATTACTCATTCCGTCCTGAGATTCTTTCAGTATAAGTGAACTGAACTTTGTGTCAGTCTCTGTCTTTGACAGGAAGACTTTCCTGTTATAAAAATTCATAGCCCAATTATGATCTCTGGTGGAAGCAGACAGAGTTGCAATATCCTGAGAGTCATTCTTATTGCTCTCTGGAGACTTGAAGATATTGATAAATTGCCCATGTCTGCTGAGGTCCAGTGTTGTCAAATCTCTCTTTTTGCTATATGTAAAATCTTACAACTTCCCTTTACCCTACAGCCCTCCATGTCATATATAAAGTAAATAAGACAGCAAAACAATGCAGATTATTTTCCTGTGTATGCTTTTCTCTCTATACATATAGCTGAATTGTAACACTAAAACAACTTGAGAACATGAGAAATGTACTTGCTATTGTTATATACACCCATTAGATGCTTAACAAGAGAGATGTGTTTATTTACTTAGCTCTTTTTTTAAAAAAAAGAGTCATCATTTAATGAATTCGTTATGTTGGCATAGTAAAAAAGAAAAAAAAAAAAAACCCTTCCATCTCTTTGAGCTGATACTGGTGGTAATTTTTTCTGATGTTCACAACACTTTAGAAATAGAATTAAGTTTTCTGAATCAGATCTTGTCTACAAATGACAGAAAGGTTGCTATATAAGGAGGAGCATTTAGAAACTTTGGCATGGCATTTGTTCTTTTGAGATAATGTCTGCCTGTGATGAATAAATTTTTTTGAATCTGATATTCCTTGTTTCAATAACTAAGACAAGATTCTCTAATGATTCAAAATAATCTTCCTTTATTCTTTGAGAAGTACAATATTACTGAGCCTTCTCTTAGATTTAGACATCACAGTGGTTAACCACCTTCTTTCCTTATAGAATTCCC